CCCCCCACCACCCCACCAGCCCCCCGCTCTTTTCAAATTACATCTTTTACGCTCGCAGCCTCTTCCTCTAAAAAAAAAAAAAAAAAAAACTTTCCATCCTCGTTGTTGCGGCTCCTGTTTCTCATTATTAAAAAAAGTCCTTTAAAGCCAGACAATTTTTAGGATTTCAAAACAAGTTATGCCCTAAATTTGTGACTGAAGCAGGAGCTGCTCAGAGTTCCTGATTAAAGGCAACAAACAGGAAACTGGATCCGACCTGCTCGGTCCTGGGACTCGTGTTTCTGGACAGCTTCAAACGTGGCCGACACCAAGGAATAAACACAGCGGTTCTGTTTGTCCTTCATGAGACAGATTAAGTTTGTTTTGGATCTTCTTCTTCTTCTGCTGTTTAACAAAGCTAACGTTCTCCATAGCGCCACCTTCTGACCACATCATGCTGCCCGGCTTACTTTAACCGAAACAAGCCTGTTTACAATTTTGTTTTTCACCACACATCTCATGCTCGCAGCCTCTTTCTCAAAACAAACAAACAAACAAACAAACAAAAACCCAACAACTATCTACCCTTGGCTCTTGAAAATCCCTTTAAAGTCAGATGATGTTTTTTCGGATTTCAAAACAAGCGATGCCCTTAATTTTACACTGAAACTGAAGCTGTTCAGTGTTTGAATAAAATGCAACAAGAAAAGTTGAAAATTGCATTTTCTGTTTTTGCAAGGAGGTGAAAAAGTTCTTCTTCTCCTCCTGTTTATTACAACTATCATAGTCTATAGCGCCTCCTTCTGACAGCATCATGTAAAGTCCAGTAAACTCACGAACAGTTTACGGCAACAAGCCGACTACACTCTTGTTTGTGTTTTTTTTATTTTAACGCTTGTTTGGCAGTTGCATCTTTTACATTTCTGAATTTTTCTTGCAACATTTGAGAAGTTCACATCATTTACGCCCGCAGACGTTTTTTTTTTTTTTTTAGGATTTCTAAACAAGCGATGCCCTAAATGTTAGACTGAAGCAGAAGCAGTTCAGTGATCCTGATTAAAATGCAAACAGAAAAAACAGAACGGGAGGCGAATGTGATTCATGTTGCGGCAGGCGAGCTGTGAGCCGCACACCTGCCCTCTCGTTTCACTTCACCTCTCAGCCGACCTGCTTGTTCCTGTGACTGGTGTGTCGGCGGCGCTGCCACGAGGGCATCGCCGCTCGCTGCCCTCCCCGCGGAGCAGCAGCTTCGGCGTGGGGGGTGCGTTAGCGACGAACGCACGCAAACACATGCGAAGAAGTGTTTGTCGGAGTTGCAATGGGCGTGAATCTCAGGATGAATATCTAAACGTGTGTGTTTACGCACGTGTGTGTGTGTGTGTGTGTATATGTATATGTGTGTGTGTGTGTGTGTGTGTGTGTGTGTGTGCGCGCTGCAACTCCTCTGTGAGCTGGCGAACGCCCCAGTGGTGTCACCCCCCGCCCACCACACAGCTGCCTCGCTGGTTACACTAACAATAATACGGACTTGGCATCAAAATAACCCTGCCTTCCCATGTCACCTCGGAGGGAGCCTTGTTAACCCTGCCACCTGAACTCACACCCAGGTTCACATGCAAACAATACATCATATGTTTTATCCCCCCACCCCCCCCACCGTGACTCCTCGCAGCCAAACAAAAGCCTCACCTGCAACTCATCACTATAAAACACACACTAACGCCCTCCTGCCGGGTTGAAAGGAGCAGCTTTAGGTACAGATCCAACAATATGGTTTATTTCGGGGGCCGATGCTGAACATTGGTGATTAGTAAACGATATTTGGGACTAAAAAGAGAAGTTTAGTTGACTGAAGCTCCCAGGAATGTGTGCACAAGCTTCAACCCACCATCTATAATGTGCTTAACTGAGACACTGGAATGACGATGGAGAACCTTCAAGCTGCGGTCGGTGTGAATCCACCAGAACGACGAGGCTGAACTAAACTAACAACACGTGGTCATTCAGAGCATGTAACCTAAACACTTCCAGTACAAAAGCGCGCCCAGTTCCAGCTCTACCACTGCTGTTTGCTGTGAGACCAACAACAGTTTGTCTCCTGCAGTTCTTCTCTGTTTTATTAATTCTCTGTTGTTGCCCACTGAGGCCCAAAAACTGTTTACGGTTATAGTTTCTCAGACACCATCTCTGGGTAACCTGTAGCTGCTTCCTCGCTCAGCCGCTACTCAACGCGCCACAACTTCAAGACAAAGAAAACCAGCACATTTTCACGTATACCGTCGCATCTTTTTGCGTGAAAACTGAGCAACTTCCTGTCACTTTTTATCAGCCGTGTTTCAACGACGTATTTTTAAAGGGCGCTTTGAATTATCAGAGGGAAGGTTATGGGAAAATTTGAAAAAACTAGTTTCTTGTGCTCTGCTGACGTGGAAGGTCAACGCACTTAATTCAAGATTCAAGACCTTTATTTGTCACAAACACAATTACACACTGAACAACGCGCAGTGAAATGTATTTAGTGTCTGTTCCAGACTGAAAGAAGAAAAGAAGAAAAGAAGAAGACGACGACGAAGAAGACAAAGATGGAGACAAAGAAGAAGAAGAAAAAGAGGAAGAAGACCAACACGAAGAAAAAGAGAAAGACACAATCATTATGTATCTAGACAGAAATAAGCAAAGTAAATAAATCAAAGTGTCAAACAGTGCAAAAAAAGTGAGACAAGTTCTGAGATACCAAGCAAACACACACGATTGATCAGCTGTTTTCAAACAGCATGAAACACGGTCGACTTTAGCCGACATGAAACAACAATAATTCCTGAAGATTTCTCTCCATTTTTCTTTTGCTGATGAACAAAGTCGAGTTACTTTCTTCTTCTGTGACGTTTTTTCACAAACAGCTGGTTTCCTTCTACTTCCTTCTGACGACACCGTGCTGCC